AATGTTCCCCACTACACCCCCCCCCCCCCCCCCCAAAAAAAAGACATGAAATGTTCATTTTCACAATTTTCTGATTAAAGAAGGTCTGTGATACTAACAAATTGTGCTAAAACTGCAAAATACATCATAAATCAAGTTTTCATATAGCTGAAAAAGAAAGGATTGTTAATGTATTGGCAAACTTAGTTTGTATTTTCTAGAAAACACCCTGCCTCCGTTAAAGCGAAGATAGAAGGCCAAACACAAACACAGTATGATTAATGCGAACATGTTTCAGATTTCTCTGTTAATGAAATCAGGCACAGGTTCAGATATAAATAACATGATAGTCAACACGAATAATCGTTTTAACTTCTTGATAAACCTTCACTGGCTTTCAAGAGGAGACTTCAGGCATGAAAATAAACATTGCAACAAAGTTCACTATGGTCTGTTACAATCCCAAATAAATCCATTTTTACAGCTTTGATTGGAAGATTTAAGACATTATTTAACATGAGCTAAAAGATGTCATGCTCTATAGGACGCAGAAGGTGGCACACAGATTTGGCATGTACACCAGCAGCACCATGATTCAAAAGGCCCTTTAAGTAAGATCCAACACATCCCATCCGATTGACTTTTCTGTATCTAAAATCATTCTAATCATTATGTATTATATATGTCAAAATATACAATTAACATCTGAGAGCAAAGAGGATAAAAGAAACTGTAGAGTAAACGGAACTACAGTATATGAGACAAACAGTAAACATAAAAGCTAAAACTCTTTGGCTACAACAAAAAAGAAAAAAAGAAAAGAGGCAAAAGGGAAAGAAATAAACAGAAACAATCCCACGCATTTCTGAAGAACTTCTGCGTTCACAGTATTCCTGAGCATTGAATCTGCGGTTTAAGATTAATGGGCATTTCACGTTCTCTCTTCTGAGGCCTTTACAACATCAGGTCTGAGATTTTAAAAGAGAAACTGAAGATGACAGCTTTTATATTAAGATAAATGGTGATAGTCTTATATTACAATAATCCCAATTTAAATACCACAAAAAAAAATTTCCTTCTCTTCCCTGAAATATGTACTTGTAATGAAAAAATTCTTGGGTGAATCTAAAAAAATAAAAACTGCTAAGAAAGGGTCCAGGTTTCACCCTAAAAATCTAAATAACAAATGCGAACTTATATTTTGGGTAAACAATATTAATACTATTTTTAGGACTATTACGAGTTTTTGCATTGTGACCTTTTTGTCATATTTATTGACAATTAAGTACATCTCCCCCCTAATTCTCATTACTGTAATGAAAAAAATACTAAAGTATTTTAAAACTCTTTGGCTACAACAAAAAAGAAAAAAAGAAAAGAGGCAAAAGGGAAAGAAATAAACAGAAACAATCCCACGCATTTCTGAAGAACTTCTGCGTTCACAGTATTCCTGAGCATTGAATCTGCGGTTTAAGATTAATGGGCATTTCACGTTCTCTCTTCTGAGGCCTTTACAACATCAGGTCTGAGATTTTAAAAGAGAAACTGAAGATGACAGCTTTTATATTAAGATAAATGGTGATAGTCTTATATTACAATAATCCCAATTTAAATACCACAAAAAAAAAAAAAAAAATTTCCTTCTCTTCCCTGAAATATGTACTTCTTGTAATGAAAAAATTCTTGGGTGAATCTAAAAAAAATAAAAACTGCTAAGAAAGGGTCCAGGTTTCACCCTAAAAATCTAAATAACAAATGCGAACTTATATTTTGGGTAAACAATATTAATACTATTTTTAGGACTATTACGAGTTTTTGCATTGTGACCTTTTTGTCATATTTATTGACAATTAAGTACATCTCCCCCCTAATTCTCATTACTGTAATGAAAAAAATACTAAAGTATTTATGCATTGTACTAGTAGGTGTTAGACTGCCTTTAGGCCTATTAAAAGAAAACATCATATTACAGTAAAATGTATTGCATCACAACAATGGGAATCACCAATGAGAATAATAGTAATTGCATGTAAAAATTTGGATGCATTATGATGAGAATTTGAGGGGGGAAAGTGATAAATGTCCATGAAAATGTGAAAAAAGCTTCAAAATATAATTTCCTAATCATTCTTTAAACTTTGTGGTTGAATGTGTTGTTGTGTTCATAACAGGTCAGAAGTCAAGAAAGAAGAACTCAATGCCCGTTTAGGTTTTTCTTCTCAAGGAAGAGGCAAAACCCAAGTACTAAATGAGACAAATGAGCCTAGGTTAAGACACGTAAATGTCCAATGGCCTCATTTATCTATTACAGCAGGCCAACGGGAAAGATGACCAGTTGTGCATGAATCCCTTTCAGCCAGCAGAGGGCAAACTCTGCGCACACACACACGGTCATGAGGCTTCCAGCTGCCTGGTCAACAAAATGCTAAAAAAACTAAAAAACTACAACAAAGGGGGACGCAGTGCAGTCACATGACTTCACAGGACACACCCAGACAGCCCTGCTTCCGGTCTTCTCTACTGTTGAGCTTTTTCATGCGATAATGTCGGATCTCACGGACAAGGGTGTAAAAAGCATCCTCAACTCCCTGAAAAACAAAGAAAAGAGACAAAGGATGTTTCATTAGCATAACATATGCTATGTCTGAAGATTTAGGTTTAGCTTCAGTATTACGGTAAAAGCAGTCATCTGACAAAGAAGTGAACTATGCTAATACACAAACGATTGCTTTTATGAAAAGCAGAGAAAGTTTAAGTAGAGATTTGATGATCAGTCTTTGCCCACCTGTCTGGTCTTGGCAGAAGTTTCTACAAACTCTATGCCGTAGCTTCTGGCAAGTTCCTGAGCTTGCTTGGTGTCCACCGTTCTGGCCAAATCACACTTGTTCCCCACTAGGACCATGGGAACATCATCGGAGTCCTTCACGCGCTTGATCTGTTCTCTAAAAAAGCACATTACCATATTATAGACTTTGGAAAACATTAGAAATACTCCTTCATATTTATAATAGAATTTATGACATTGTTGACACGTCTTAAACATTCTCCACTCGTATTACCACTGCTTCAAATCCAGAGGATTCTAAAAAAACTGAAACCCCTTTCTTTGGCTTACGGACCTGTACAAATGCACATCGGCGAAGGATTTGCTGTTGTTTATGGCAAAGACACAGAGGAAACCCTCTCCTGTCCTCATGTACTGGTCCCTCATTGCGCTGTACTCTTCCTGACCTGCAGTGTCCAGGATATCCAGCAGACACGTCTCACCGTCAATCACCACCTGCTTCCTGTAAGAGTCCTGAAGACACGGACATGATCAGTAGGGCTGGGTAAAAAATCTCGATATTAATCTTTACGAATCTATATCGATTCTTAAATCCCAAGAATGGATTAGTCCTGTTTTCAGTTAATGGACGGAACATTGAAGGGCACCTCCCACCCAATCACAATAAGCATTGTGCTTTGGTACTTTTAATATGAAACAAAGTCTCAGACTTCAAATTTTTCCATTGTATTGCAGTATTCAAACAATAAACGCCGTTTTGGCGCTGTTTGATGTGAAGTGACAGATCGCTGTGCCTCGATCAACAGACGCGGCAGCGCGAGGCGCACGTGAACTGATCTCCTCCAAATTAACATGACTAAACATCCGAAGGTAAGTTAAAAGAAATAGTACAACTTTACAATCCATATCCTGTCTCATGTAATCGCTCAATAAGTGTTTCAGCCGCGCAAAGACGTCAATATAACGGCTTGTAAACAATGTCACGTAACGTAACATTTACCTCAGAAAAAACATTGGTGACCATAAACTCATTAGTCAGCTAGAAAATTAAACTGTAGAGAGGGGCATTTTGCTAAATATATGCACCATATAAATTTATTATAATTTTTTACTTTTCTTCAATGTTTAAGTTACGTTTTTTAATGAAAAATTTAAATGTAAAAAAAAAAACGAATTAAAGTAGACATATGTAATTGTAACTTATTATGAAAACATGAAATATGTTTCTTGAGCAGCAAATCAGCATATTAGAATGATTTCTGAAGGATCATGTGACACTGAAGACTGGAGTAATGATGCTGAAATTGAGTAAATCACATTTTTAAAAAACTTTTGAAACCATTTTAAAGTGAAATAATATTTTGCAATATTATAGTTTTTACTGTTTTTCATCAAATAAATGCAGCATTGCTGAACATAGGAGACTTATTTTAAAAATATTTTAATCTTACTGATCCCAAAATTTTGAATGGTAGTGCAAGTCAAGTTCTAACTTAAAGAAAGATGAGGTCAGAAGGTCATTAACCCTTTAACTTACGTTTTTTAATGAAAAATTTAAATGTAAAAAAAAAAAACGAATTAAAGTAGACATATGTAATTGTAACTTATTATGAAAACATGAAATATGTTTCTTGAGCAGCAAATCAGCATATTAGAATGATTTCTGAAGGATCATGTGACACTGAAGACTGGAGTAATGATGCTGAAATTGAGTAAATCACATTTTTTAAAAACTTTTGAAACCATTTTAAAGTGAAATAATATTTTGCAATATTATAGTTTACTGTTTTTCATCAAATAAATGCAGCATTGCTGAACATAGGAGACTTATTTTAAAAATATTTTAATCTTACTGATCCCAAAATTTTGAATGGTAGTGCAAGTCAAGTTCTAACTTAAAGAAAGATGAGGTCAGAAGGTCATTAACCCTTTAACTGTCACCCGTCCCCTCTGTGGGACGCCTAAGTTTACTTCACTATATTACAATTAGGGCTGGGCAAAAAAATCGATTTTTCGATTAATCGTTTTTTTAAATGACATCGATTCGATATCGATTCTCAAAAGCCGCGAATTGATCTTTTCCGGGATTTATTTCAGCACATTTAAAACAAGATCTGATTAACATGAATCTTATCATTAGTTTATCACCCTTATTTACCTTGCGCAATGTTACAACAGAAAGCCTGTCATTCATTGAGCACTTATCATGGCCATTCGCGCAATTCGCAATGCTCAGGTGAAATGCTTTAGTAATACTATAAATCTGCGGAAGCATTTGATATCACGCATGATTTCCGCAATGAATGAATGGCGGATGGCGCGGCGCACTTTGTTTACTACACACATACTAAAGCGCGGATGACGCTCGCGGTGTTTTCAGCTTTGCCGTCACACTATATGATGATATGAACACGAATGTCATCTCCAGCTGCTCTGAGAGTCACTTCATTAGCATTTTACCGTTTCATTTGAGAAAACTACGAGAAAATGAGAACGTTTCATTTCACGGCAACCCGTCAAAATAAACGTTTAGTTTAATGTTAAACTGTCAGAATATATTACTATTTAGCAGTCTGAAGACTCAATGCTACTACTGCTAATAAATATTAATAAATCTTTATTTTTAAAGGAATAATAACATCTGTTTTATTTTTTATTTTAACAGTAAACCTCCGTTGTGCAGCACTTTGTTTGCCAAAAAAATAAAAGGGTTTAATTTTCATTAAAAATTTAATTAATTTTTTATGCTTTCATCTGATTACCAAAAAAATTAAGAACATTTTATAGGGCCCTACTATTGTTTAAAAAAAACCCTATACAAAAAAAAAAAAGAATAGGTTTAAAATACAGGCATGTGGTTCTTAATTTCTTTTTATTAATTCACTATTTGTAAACTGATGTTTACTGTTAAGTTTTTAGAAATATCAATAGCATTTGTATTAAAACTATATTCACTGAATGTAAAAAAAAAAAATCGAGAATCGAATCAAGAGCTTGCGAATCGAAATCGAATCGAATCTGGATATTTGAATTGATACCCAGCCCTAATTACAATTAAATCCTAATCTAATCATGACAAACTATATATCGTTGGAAAGGTCTAAGACTCCTAAATCTTTTTTTACAAAAACATTGGTAAAATATCTATGTAGGAAAAGTAATAGATTAATTTATGACAAGAGTGCACCTCAAAAATGTTCTGACCTTTGTCAAAAAGAGTCTTCTTCGTTGCCTTTTTCTCTATCACACTTTAGAAATCATCAGACATTATAAATCAATTGAAAACTTTAAATCTCAAAATTCATCCTTTGAAACCCATTTTAAAATCAAACATTGCATTACCATGAAAATGGTACATCAATATCATGTTACAAAATGTTTTCGTTCATGAATTATAAAAATTGAAGTTTGGATTGTGCACTTTCACGTCTATGTTCAAAAATGTGAGTGACAGTTAAAGGGTTAAGTACCTCAATAGTAGGGTCATATTCATCCACAAAGTGATTCTGAATGAGCTGGATGGTTAAAGCACTCTTCCCAACACCACCTGCTCCCACAACAACCAACTTATACTCGGTCATTTTACAGTCCTAAGAGACCACCTGTGATGGAGACAGAGAGAATTATATTAATAACACTTTAGAACTCATAAACAGATTGACATTCAAATAAATACTTCAAAACATCTGTGTAAATATCACTAATAACACATTTTCTGTGTTTGTAAACTGGTTTATTACTGCGCTGGCAATGTAATAATTTTTGCTTAAATCTAGAGATAGAGAGAGAGAGATAATCAGAGTAATAAAAAACACTTCTGTTCAAAAGCTTGGGGTTGGTTTTTGAAAGAAGTCTCTAACACTAGCTATGTTTCCATCCAAAGACGCAAATTTAGCTTATGCACAAAACTGGAATATCGCATAAAACATTTGCGAATAAAGCACCATTTCCATCCAACGAGTCAAAGAGAACAAAATCGTCACTTCCTGATAAACTGGCACTAAATATCTCTAAGAAAACTAGGAGAAGCCACTGAATATAATAATTTTCATATGCAATAAATTACTTGCGCTTCAAGGCTTGTTCACACTGGGACGAATATCGCGCGCAATTATCGCCGACGTTTAACTCCTCGTGACTAAACAAAGGGCGCCAATGTGAGTGTGCACACCGACGCGCAAAACGCAGGCGTAAAAGCGTAATTTTTTTTAAAAACGCCTCGGGCTCGTTTTTTTGGTTTGACACGCCACGTTAAAAACTGCCCGACCAATGAGATTGGCGCTTTTGTTCACGTGCCTTGAGCTGCTGAAGTTACAGTGAAACACGACTTGGTGGCGCTCAAGCACAAAACGGTCTTGCCGAGCACACATTGATACCTAATGCCGAAGAGGAAGTAAGTAGCAGTGTTGCCAATTTAGCTACTTTGTAGCTAGATTTAGCGACTTCCCCGCCCCTTTTGAGACTTTTTTCAAAAGTTTAGGGACAAATATAGCAACTACTTGGACAAACCTTATCTAAGTTCTCATCTTGCCCACTGATCTACGTTCAACTTTATATAGATCAGTGAATTTGCCATTGTGATGTCATCTAGTGACATTTAGCTACCAGTTTTAGCTACTTTCAATTGAAAGCAGTTGGCAACACTGGTAAGTAGACGAAGAAGATGCATCGAGGCAAGCTGCTGGTCTCATTGGTGTCTGAACACAAAGGGCTTTATGACAAACGTGACAGCGACTACAAAAATCTCGATAAGAGGGAGTTGTTATGGAGAGGAATTGCAGATCAAATAGGATTTGATGTGTACCGGGGTATTTCTGTTTTTCATTAAGCGCCATCTAATGTCAGGGAGGGAATTTGCATGTTCACTCGGCTCATCGCCAGCGAAAATCGCTTGGGTATGCACACAAAAGACGCGTCGAAAAACGTCGGCGATAAGCACGTGCGATAATCGTCCCGGTGTGCACGAGGCTTCAGAGAGAGCAGACGTAACAATAAATGCGGTCATTGCTTTTAGAGGTGGATGCCTGCTGTTTGGGAACGCAGTCACGTAAGACAGTAATTATACAGAAATACTTTGATGACAGACTTTCCTCAGGCATTTCAGAACGACCAAAACAACATATATGCTGTGAACGAGATCGGTCTGCTGGTTTGTCAAGTTATACCGTCTCATAGCTCAAAGTCACATGACTTTTTGAATGCCGCACGGTGGAATTTATGCGCATAATCCAAAAAAATGCGCATAAAAATAGGTGGATGGAAACATATCTAATCACCAAGAATGCAAATTTGATCAAAAATATAGTAAAAACTCCACTTGATGACTTGACAACACCACCCATGCATGCTAGCTTCAGCAGTTGTCTGATTGTGGCTAGAAGGGATACAACTATAGCCAGAAGTTAACAATTAATTACATTTTCTACCTATTAGATTGTGTTTTATTAACATCTACACCTACCCCAATACCCCTTACAATAATGCAAATACAGTAATTTTTGTTGTTCAGCGTGACAAGAATTATGCTATATTGATGTGCGCATACCCTGTAACCGCAGATGTGTCCCTTCTAGCAGTTATCTGGATGATTGTGGCACTGAGAGTTTACAGACAATGAATTAACAGCATATTGCACCATGAATAATATAATGTTGTCTTATGTACCTTCTCATTCTTATGACTCATACTGGAGGTTATTCAGCAGTCTCTCCATTGTCATGTGACCAATGACATCACAATAGTAATAAAAGTTTCTGGAGGAAAGCACCCCCTCTGCAAACATTACCTATGCAATCTATTTATAGAACGGCTAAATGTCAAAGTCATTCTCAGAGTACAGCCAGGAAAAGACATTAACCTGAGAGAGAAGCAGAGGTCACTGACCCCGGAGCTGTTTTTACCTAAACCTGAGACTGATTTTAGCTCAAAACATCCTTTTTACCATTATCAATTCAACATAATTAAGATCTTATTATACATGCATGTTTCAAAAAAATTGTAAGCTATGCATCTGAGCATGTTGATCTAAAGGAAAAAAATCATGTGTCATCAAAATTAAATTGCATGCTCTTCCTCTTGAACAACTTTCCCTTTCCACTGACGTCACTGTGCAGCCAGTTGAATAATGTTAACCAACAGCCAAATAGCTTTTGTTTCAGCAAACTCACATGCAGCCTGGATATAAAAGTATCACACACATTATAGAAGTAAAATTGGCTGTGAACTATAGAAGCTTGTCTCTGCCACGAGATAAAAAAAATAAATACAAATAAAAAGGTAATTGTGACTTTCTCTCAGTTCAACTGAGTTTTTTTCTCACATTTCTGAGAAAAAAGTCAGAACTGCAAGATTTAGAGGCAGAATTTCAAGAAAAAGTCAGAATTGTGAGATATTAACTTAATATAAATGTTACCCTGGATCACAAAACCTTCTTAAGTCTCAATTTTTCGAAATTGAGATTTATAGATCATCTGAAAGCTGAATAAATAAGCTTTGGTTTGTTAGGATAGGACCATATTTGGCCGAGATACAACTATTTGAAAATCTGGGGGAAAAAAATATATATATATTGAAAAAAAAATCGCCTTTAAAGTTGTCCAAATGAAGTCCTTAGCAATGCATATTACTAATCAAAGCTGAAGTTTTGATATATTTACGGTAGGAAATTTACTAAATATCTTCATGGAACATGATCTTTACTTAATATCCTAATGATTTTTGGCATTAAAGAAAAATCTATAATTTTGACCCATACAATGTATTTTTGGCTATTGCTACAAATATACCCAGCGACTTAAAACTGCTTTTGTGCTCCAGGGTCACAAATACTTTATTTGTAAAAGTCAGAAATGTAAGATATTTAGATATGTAAGAAAGTCACAATTAGCTTTATTTTTAATCCCACGGCAGAAAAAAAAACAGAATTGGGAGATATCAACTCAGGATTTAGAGAGAAAAAGTCAGAATTGTGAGAAGAAAGCCAGAACTGTGAGATAAAAAGATGCATTTACCTTTTTTAATTTTTATCCTATGGTGGAAACAGGCTTCCATAATGAACAGAAAATCACATTGACTTTAACTGGAAAACTTTAACTACATATGCTAAATAATAACAGGTTGTCAACACACTATATATAGTTAAATGACAAGATACGTTATTGAGGACAAATATCAATCCTGAGTTTTTCTTTCTGAAAGGAGCAGTTTCCCTTATTCTGTAATTTAGACTGATGTTTTACTGCACTGTATGCAATAAAAGTCAGTGGCTGCTTACATTTTTTCGTATTGTACAGAAAAAGTCACACACTTTAAACAACCATAGGGTTAGTAAATGACAACCTTACACACGACTGTAGTTGTGATCTAGGAAAATATGCACTTTGAACATCTCATAACATCCCATTACCTTGTTTGTGGCTTGTATGCGTTCATTGATTATCATGCATTGATATCATGTTTGTGGTGGAATAAGCCATCAAATTAGGACAAACCCCCTAAAGAAACACACTAGGCTAATCAACAGTAAATACCTGGCACAGAAAACTTAAAAGATCATTTAAGTATACATTTAACATAATATTAATCAGACAAAATATCACGAGAAATCAGATCTATACATAAAAGAAACCTAAACTACATGTATCCCACATGTGCCATAATGCTGTCTATGTAGACAGCTCACTAGGATTTGAGTCACAGCCTTTATGTCGTACAAAGGAAGCCTTTAAAAATATCCAGTGCCAGACTGCCAGAACACATGAAAATGAATGTAAACAGCCGAGGACGGGTATAAACGCGATAGAGAGCGTCTGTAAGGCGTGGAGAAGGAAACTCACCGCTTACACTGCAGTTCTGCGACCTCTGGCTGATCTGATCAACAGGGCTCTGCTTATTACTGCTCTCTCGCCCAAAATAATGCCATGAGGAGCACTTTAAACGCCACTTCACACTCGTCTGGAAGCCACGTAACCCGTACGAACAGAATTCGTCAGGACACTACAGATTCAGCTTGTAAAAACAGCAGTTAAATAAGTCTGCCCAAAGTTTTGAATAAGAGTTGACCAAACAGCTTCCCTCAGAACTTCACGACTCACAGCGACTTCCGGCTTCAGAATTCCACAAATCACGTCAAAATAAAAGTCATGTCGTTGTGGTTGCAATACGGCCATGTTAAAAAAAGAAACAAACAAAAACAAATTAAAGGTCCCATATTGTCAAAACTGAAATTTCCTGGCTTTTTTCATGATTACTGAGGTCTAGGGGCTATTTAACTACCATATAAGTTTCAAAACAGTCAGTCCACAGTAAAATGCACACGGCCTGCATAAAGTAGTTGTGATTTTTCGTAAAAAGTTGCCGTCAGAACTACACAATCACAGCCTTCAGTCACCACCCCGAGCACCGCCCACCGTCCCACTCTCCTCTTGCCAAACCCCCAGACAACATGCTTTTGCTGAGCAACAACAACACGGAAACATGTTGAAAAGGTTAACTTTAACCACGAAACCAGATCGACCTTGCTGAGCAACTACAACAGGGAAACATGTCGAAAAGGTTCCACTAAACCACTAAACCAGATCGGCCGACCTGTAACGTTACACGTTATACTCAAAGGATGGACGATCTGACAGGATTGTCTAACTGTATCATCTAACTGTATAGTAGACAAACTCACCGTGTAAGTTTAGTCATGATGAAGATGTATATACATTTCAATTTCAGCAGGCAACTATTTTTACAGCTACATTATTGTTCCAGCCACAATTAATCACAACAATGTATATACAATTACAAATGATTATATATAAATCATCAGTTTGTTGTTTTACACACATGCACACAGACATTATTTCATACACGACATAGTCGTGAGATGCAAGAAACATAGACATATGGCAAGAAATCTGTAGACGCGCCCATAACAACAAAAGACAATACTTTATTGAACCTTTTCTGATAAGAAGTGTGCTGCAAACGTGAGCATTTTTGACGATCATTTCTGTCCAGTCTACTCGTTTCATCGCGTTTAACCACAGCTGTCGTTGTTTTTTTTGTCTGGCAGTGGCAGCAGATATGCGATCAAATTTCTAATTTGAGGCTGTATTAAGTCGATTCTGGCACCCAACATCACAACAAGATGATATTTTAAGCTCCTTATGTAGCCGAACCTGCGCTGGTTTGAATGGGCCGCCTCCAGTTTCCCCTTTGTTTTGCTGCCTCCAGCTAGCGCTGTGACGTCGCTGACCCTAGTTACCTGTGGTTGACCTGGCCGTGCGTCACTCAGAAAACAACAGGCCAATCAGAAGAGAGGCTCATGAATATTAATTAGAATATTCACTGGAGATGCGCGATTGACAAACTTTAAACTCGTGATTTCAAATTATGCTGCGCTTTATGCATTTGCCCACTGCCATATTCATGTCTTTTCCACTGTGTTCTGTATGTAAAATGAGTGTTACCTTGGCTTTATTTGAAAAAATATGATTCCCAATGCACACAAACTTCCCAGAATACTGATTGCCCTGTTGGTTACAGTGTTTACTTCCTTTTTTATTATATTTGTATTAAATATTTATTTATTTGTGAAAAATACTTTGTCATCTAAAGTATAAGTATGTTTATTTAACACATTTACTTTTTAATCCATTTTCAAATTATTTCAAATTTCTTAAACATTAATTAAAATAAATAAAATTATATCGGCCATCGGCCACCCTGCTTTCAAAGATATCGGCATCGGCTGTCAAAAAAACCAATATCGGTCGACCACTAATCTCAAGATATGACCCCTTGAAAAACATCATCTATCATTATACCAAATCCAAAATTTATAAACTAAGCACTTCAACTTACATTCATAAAACTCTAGGCAGAGTGCAGCCGCTGAGCCGGGCCTGGTGTACTGAATGGACTTTTTTCTGAGGTTGTCTCTGGCGAAAACATTTCCCCCAAATTCAACCAAAAGCTCAGTTAGTTCCAGATTTTTCACTTTGGCAGCATGATACAGTGCAGTCTCGTGAAGTTTAGCAGCATTTACATTTGCACCTAAAAACAAGAATAGAATGAAACTAAATAAATCAAAGAATACACAGACATCATAAGAAAGGTGCGCACATAAGTTTGTTTTTTAATATCTGATACAATGAAACAACAAGAAATTTATGTTCATTTTAAAATTGTGAGATTCGCAGTAACACTATTTTGTTAACATTAGTTGACTACATTAGTTAGCATGAACTAACATTGAACAATACTGCAGCATTTATTAATCTTTTTCATTACACATTTTTAGAATCCAATATTGTATCTGTTACCATTAGTTAATGCACTGTGAACTAACATGAACAATAACAAATATATTGCTCATTGTTAAATCATGTTAGTTAGTGCATTAACCAAATTGCAAATAAAAATAAAACACAAAGAAATGTAAATGCAGAAACTGACCTGCGTTATAAATTAAATTAAAAACTATATAAATACTGTTCAGTTTCTTGCACAGACCGATCGTTTTGTGTCTTTACACATCAATGTATCGTCACGAGCCACAGGGTTTAATTTGGTTTTGTTTGTGTATGTTTTATTGACTCTCAAAGCCGTGATTCTCATTCACTTCCATTATATGACTGACAGACTGCCACGGTTTGAGTTAAAAATCTCCGTTTGTGTTCTACTGAAGAAACAAAGTCACCTACATCTTGGATGCCCTGGGGGTAAGCAGATAAACATCAAATTTTCATTTTTGGGTGAACTATCCCTTTAATCAGTGCATGATTAAAATAATCATAATGAATATGTGTATTTTTTTATAATATATAATCATGTATTACTAGAATAATATAATGTTAATACTACTACTACTTAATTAATAATAATAATAATAATCAGTTCTGTAATCAATTGGTGGCGCTAATAAACATACATAAAGAACTAGGTTAAATTTGAGATATAACTATTTATTATTACAAATTATGATTATTACTTCTTTCAATCAGTTGACAGCCGTAATAAACATACATAAATGATTTATAAAACTGTATAAACAATAATATATTTTGTATAATAATTATTATATATTAATATATTATATTATATAATTATTTATTTTAATCAATTGACAGCCCTAATAAACATACCCTAATAATATAGCCCTAATTTTAGATCTAATATTACATATGAATATAATAAGAAAATAAATATAAAACTAAATAGTTATAATAATATTTTTTTTATTAATTGACAGGCCTAATAAACGTACATAAATGAGCCTAGGTTAAATTTGAGATATAATAGTAATAATAATAATAATAATACAAATATCTATTTCGTTTTAATGAGTTGACAGCCCTAATAAACATACATACTGTAAATGACTATACATTAAATTTGAGATATAATATTATGTATTAATATAATAATAATAATTTCTTCAATCGACAGCCCTAATTAACATGCACAATCGACTCCATGTTACATCAAGCATCAGGTTACTTACCGCCCATGCAGGCCTCATGCAGGGGTGAGAAGGTGAAGAGCGGAGGATTCACCATGGCTCCATGTTCTAACAGCAACTTCACACACTCCAGACTACCAGCAGCACAGGCGTCACACAACAGAGTGCTGCTGTCAATGTTACGAGCATCAACCTGTTAACAATGACAGCAGTATTAACAACCGATGCACTGACAGATTCATGATGCCTGCAGTGTGGAGAACAGTCTTACATGAGCTCCAGCATCCAGAAGCAGCTTCACACACTGTGTTTGGCCCTGAATACAGGCCTCATGGAGGGGTGTAATTGAGTCCACGGCCACAATGTTGACAGATGCTCCGTTCTCAATTAGTTTTTGGAGCTGCACAGCTCTGCCCTGAGCTGCGGCTTCATGCACTGCCGAACGATTGGTCCAGAACCCCAGACCATGTGCTGTGGGTAGAATGGAGAGACAGACAGAACTTCAAAACATAGCTTTAGATAGCTGTTATTGTAGCTATAAATGATTTCCAAATGATGCATCAATTAATTCTTTAAAAATCCTACAATGTGATTTTCTGGATTTTTTTTTCTCATTTTGTCTCTCATAGTTGAGGTATACCTATGATGAAAATTACAGGCCTCTCTCATCTTTTTAAGTGGGAGAACTTGCACAATTGGTGGCTGACTAAATACTTTTTTGCCCCACTGTATATATATATATATATAACAAAGGAATTTAATTCAGCTCAACACAACAACAAATGGGCAAGTGCAACAAGTTAGATGCTCTGTAAAAGTCTTGTTGTACTCCATTTAAAGAAGTGAAGGTGAATTACAGAATTCTGGGAAATCGAATTTAGGACATTTAGCCATTTCAAACACTGCTGATCATCAGTGTTTTTATAAGGGATGTAACAGTGTCATGTACCTGTCTGGTGTCTAAATTATCTTCTTATTTCATTGCACAGTAAAGGAACATTTCCAAAGGACACGAACAGGACAGTAAAAACGGACTCATCCATCTGTTTACTCAGGTCACACTGATCCAGGGCTTTAGGAACCTGCTAAGTGTCATTGGTGACTGATTCAAGGCCAAATGGCATGTGATCACACTACAGTTCTGGCAACAATATCTGTCATCGAGCCTTGCTCTAGGGCTAGGCAACTATATAAAAGCGTATCATACAGTTACAGTGAACTCTGTCCTGCAGAGTCAAATGATTACCAGACTGCTGGTTACTTGCAGTGTAACAAGTCTCATATAACCTCATATTAGTCAGACATCTTACAATCTGCAGGTTATTTCAAATTCCATCATTTACTCCTATTTATAAGAGAATAAAAGAGGAATATGTGCATCATATCTAAATGGCATGAGTGCCAGCCATAGTTTACAAACAATCGACCTGATTTCAGTTCAGTGGCGAATGATGCTGTAGTTGTAATAAAGACATTAAGTCATGCAGGGGACGCATTGTGGCTCAAAAAGACGAATTCTCGTTAAGCCGCAAATCTTTTTTTCGTCTTATTTTATACATTTGTCCATTAAAATCATGATAGTTTAAAAAGGTTAAATTGAAAGGCTGGTATCTGACATATATTTGAACATATATTACTTCG